TAACCCTCTTGTATTGAACTGTATAGGTTCTGTATTGTCTATTGTAAAGCACTGAGCAAACTGTTGGCGCTATATAAATTCTGTATATATATATATATATATCTATATATCTATATATATATATATATATATAGATAGTTCTCACAGTCAAATCATGGTATATACAGTATTTTAACTATATATATATATATATATATATATATATATATATATATATATTCACACACAGGTATATATGTCAGTGCTTGCAAGTATATATGATTAGGCCAAGTATATAGGTACAGCTGATATATATATATAATTTTTTTTTTCTCAGTCAGGTCTGGGTATATACAGTATTTTCTCTATACATGGAGATTTTATATATATATATATATATATATATATATATATATATATATAGTGACATTCTGTGTATATATATCTATCCCCCTATGTATGGTAGCTCTCACATACTATATACAGGTATACAGTCTGTTCAGGTACATATGGAATGCCCACATACACGGATATATATTGTAGTGCTCCTCTACAGCGGTATATACGGTAGTGTTGGATATATAGAGCAGTGTCTCATACCCCTCTACACGGACATATACGGTAGTGCCCCTGTACACGGATATGTACGGTAGCGGCGTGAGGTGACAGTGGCTAGTTCGGACCCGGTGGAGGAAATGTTCTGGACGGATACTAGTAACGGGAACGAGCACCGCTCACACCAATAACCCTCTATACGTTTATATACGGTCATGTGACAGGGCCAGGGTGGCACATATAGACTACACACGGCTCTCCCCGGTATTACCGCCTTGAGATCCAGCACGCCGTCCTCGGCCTCCTGTAGCAGGGACACGAACTTGCTAGTGAGGAGCCCCAGACTCTTCTCATGGCGGCTCGGCGTGACCGGACACTGCGCGGGATCCGCCATGACAGCACCGCGAGGCGGGGGGCGGGGCCTCCGGTCAGCTGCTTCAACGGCCAGCCTAGCGGCCGTTACCTGCGCAGAGCATGCCGGGAGAGGGGGGAGCCAGAGCGCAAAGGGGGAGGGACGAGAGACCGTCTGAGAGTGAGAGGAAGGGGCGGGGCTGTAATACATTGTTCTGTGCGCGGCGGTGCGGATTGTCCTCTGGATGGGATCTACACTGTATTGCCTCAAGTATTGGTCGGCCTGCCTTTACATAGACATGCCCTTTAATGGCATCCCAGTCTTCATGGAATGGGTTTCCATGGCTGAGCAGCTGCATCTATGCAGGCCATAGACTGGGCGAAAACCGTCTCTTTTTAAAAAAAAAAAAAACGAAAAATCGGTCGTTCAATCAGCCGACGTTACCACCAACGGTAAAAGAAATCGGGCAATTTTTGTCTCGTCTACGGCCGGCAAATATAATAGCGGAGTATTACTTCTGTCCCTGCAGAGAGCTCCGCTATTATATTTGACATTAAAAAGTATAGCGGTTGCAACATTGTATCTATTTGTATCCATTTCGGATACAGATGGTTTTATTTGGATACAAATAGATACAATGTTGCAACCGCAATACTTTTTAATGTCAAATATAATAGCGGACTGGAATTCTTTTTCTTCTTCTTTTTCTTCTTCTTGCAGCTCATGGCTCATGCGCAGATTTTTTATCGGTAAAAAGATCGACCGATTTGCTGATCATTGCCATGTAAATTGGATTTTTTCCCAACTTTTTGACCCATCTATGGCCTGCTTTAGTCCGTAGGGTTCAATATTGAGTTGGCCCCGCCCTTTGCAGCTATAACAGCTTTAACTCTTCAGGGAAGGCCGTCCACAAGGTTTAGGAGGGTGTCTATGGGAAGGTTGGACCATTCTTCCAGAAGCACATTTGTGAGGTCAGGCACTGATGTCGGGGGAGGAGGCCTGGCTCGTAGTCTCCGCTCTAATTCATCCCAAAGGTGTTCTATGGGGTTGAGGTCAGGACTCTGTGCAGGCCAGTCAAGTTCCTCCACCCCAAACTTGCTCCTCCATGTCTTTATGGACCTTGCTTTGTGCCCTGGTGTGCAGTCATGTTGGAACAGGAAGGGGCCATCCCCAAACTCTTCCCACAAAGTTGGGAGCATGAAATTGTCCAAAATGTCTTGGTATGCTGACGCCTTAAGAGTTCCCATCACTGAAACTAGGGGGCCAAGTCCAACCCCTGAAAAAACAACCCCCCCTCCAACAAACTTTACACTTGGCACAATGCAGTCAGGCAAGTACCGTTCTCCTGGCAACCGCCAAACCCAGACACATCCATCAGATTGTCAGAAAAGTGTGATTGGTCACTCCAGAGAACATGTCTCCATTACTCTTGAGTCCAGTGGCGGCGTGCTTTACACCACGGCATCTGATGCTTTGCATTGCACTTGGTGATATAAGGCTTGGATGCAGCTGCTCGGCCATGGAAACCCATTCCATGCAGCTCTCTATGCACTGTTGTTGTGCTAATCTGAAGGACACATGAAGTTTGGAGGTCTTTAGCTATTAACTCTGCAGACAGTTGGTGATTTCTGCGCACTGTGCACTTCATCGTGTGCTGACCCCGCTCTGTCATGTGATGTGGCCTACCACTTGGTGGCTGAGTTGCTGTTGTTCCCAGTTGCTTCCACTTTGTTATAATCTCACTAACAGTTGACCGTGGAATATTTAGTAGCCAGGAAATGTCACGGATGGACTTATTGCAGAGGTGGCCACCTATCCCGGGACCACGCTTGGAGTCACTGAGCTCCTGAGAGCGACCCATTCTTTCACCAATGTTTGTAGAAGCAGCCTGCATGACTAGGGGCTTGAATTTATACATCTGTGGCCATGGAGGTGATTTGAACACCTGAACCCAATGATATGGAGGGCGGGGCCAATACTTTTGGCAATATAGTGTTCTTATTCCCCCCCGGGTGTATGGATAATGTACAGGCTCTGTGTACCTGCCTATAGGACAGCTTTTTCTTATGTCACATGGTATTTGCGCAGCAGTTTTTTAAACCAATTTCTTGTGAAAATACACTTTAGTGAATAAAACAAAACCCATTTTTTTTTTAAATATGAAAGAAGATGTTAAGGGAAGTAAATAGATACCTAATATTGCAGGCCATAGATGGGTCGAAAATCGGCTGATTTTTTTGGCCGAAAATAAAATCGGCCGATTTTCGGATCATTAGTGGGCTAATTGTTTCGGCCGTTTTTCGGTATTTTGGCAGATTTTTTTTATCGGTAAAGTTGGAAAAATAATCGGCCGATTTTGCCGATCGGCCGATTTTCGCGGCAATGATGGGCAAATCGGCCGATTTTTTTTTACCGATAAAATCTGCTCATGAGCAGTGACCTGCAAGAGGAAGACAAAAAGAAGAGGATGAAGAAGAAGAAGAGAGGAGGAAGAAGAAGAAGAGGATGAAGAAGAAGGATGAAGAAAAAGAGGATGAAGAAGAGGATGATGAAGAAGAAGAGGATGAAGAAGACGAAGAGGATGAAGAAGAGGAAGATGAAGAAGAGGAATTCCAGTCCGGCAAAAAGTGTCCCTGCAGAGAGCTCCGCTATTTCTATGACAGTTCCTTGACATTTATAGCGGTTGCAACAATGTATCTATTTGTTTCCGAATAGAAAACATCTGTATCCTAAATGGATACAAATAGATACATTGTTGCAACCGCTATAAATGTCAAGGAACTGTCAAAGAAATAGCGGAGCTCTCTGCAGGGACACTTTTTGCCAACTGTAGACGGGATGAAAATCGTCCGATTTTTGTTTTACCGTTGCTGGTAACGTCGGCCGCTTGAACGACCGATTTTTCGGTTTTTAAAAGAAAAATCGGCCGATTTTCGACCCATCTATGGCCTGCATAAGTCACACTTTAAAATTGTGCACGCGTGTGGAATGGCGACAAACTACAGTACTTAAAAATCTCCATAGGCTTTAAAAATATTTACAGGTTACCTGTTGAGTTACAGAGAAGGTCTAGCGCCAGATGTGTGCTGCAAACACCATTTACATATGCATGCGCAATTTACGTATGTGTGGTCATGGTGGGATGGAGACGCCTAAAATTTTTATTAATTTTTATTTTTACACTTTCTCTTAATTTTTTGAGATCTGTGTGCATGGGGCCTACAGACCAATCAGAGGACAGAGATCTGTGTGCATGGGGCCTACAGACCAATCAGAGGACAGAGATCTGTGTGCATGGGGCCTACAGACCAATCAGAGGACAGAGATCTGTGTGCATGGGGCCTACAGACCAATCAGAGGACAGAGATCTGTGTGTGTTTGTATGGCGTATCTCCCAACTGTCCCTGATTTCGAGGGACTCCCTCATTTGGAACAAAGCTTTTCTGTCCCTCTTTCCACCTCATTTGTCCCTCATTTTGGTCTGATGTATCTAATTGTATTAAAAATGCACTTTTTTATAAAAAAAAAGTGTTTTTACCGTGTTAAATATTTCATCCAATTTCTAAAATGTTGCATTTGTACATTTCAAAAGCCAATATAAATGAATAGTAGTGGTAAGAAGGGTGGCACAGTGGCTTAGTGGTTAGCACGTCGGCCGTGCAGTAAAGGGGTCATGGATTCAATTCCTGACCATGGCGCCTCATGCATGGAGTTTGCATGTTCTCCCTGTGTTTGCGTGGGTTTCCTCCGAGTACTCCGGTTTCCTCCCAGTACTCCGGTTTCCTCCCACACTTCAAAGACATGCTGTAAGGTTAATTAGCTCCTGTCTAAATTGTCCTAGTTTCATCCCTGGTCATGTGGGATCTCCTGCATGGTAGGGGTTGGGGAAAGACCTGGCAACCTACCCTGTAAAATAATTGCTAAGCAAATTCATGGAAAAAAGTCGCTTGCGAATGACGGTCCATGGGATTTCTTGAAAAGTGCAAATATCTGGGAAGATCTGATGATGTCATATCACAGTTTATTGAACGCACATTGGAGTGGTTAGTACAAAGATTGCTCATCAGAATCCAACATATGGAATGTGGAGCCCGCAGCAGGCCATCCATCCCCTTTAGACGACGACTTTCCCCGGGTTCATGAGGTTCTTGGGGTCCAATGTTGCCTTAATCTGCTCCATGACCTGAATGCCGACTTCCCCAACTTCCTCCCGCAGTAATGACCGTTTTCCTATTCCGATTCCATGTTCTCCAGTGCAGGTTCCATGCATAGCTAGTGCCCTCCTGCAGGATACAGTAATATCCGTGATGATGATGGAGGAGATAGATACAATGATTCACTCAACATTCATGCCTCTTTTCCATCCAACCTGATTTACTAAGATTACCTTGTCCCAGAGATGTCACTGTGTGACTCATTCTGGACTGAGTTTCTGGTTTTAGAGGAACGCTGGGCTCCATGGCTGGTGCAGATTCCCAATAAATCAATTGATCCCTATAGTGTGGTTCTTCACTACTGGGAACACTGTTTATCCGGAACACTCTCCTATGAAAACTCTTAATCAGGAACACTCTCCTGTATGGACACTTCATTGAAAACACTCTTCATCAGGAACTCTCTCTCTGGGATCACTCTTCATTGGAAACACACTTCACTGAGAACACTCATCATTGGGAACACTCTCCTCTAGGAACACTCTTTGTCACTAACACTCCTCATCAGGGGAACTTTCCACCTGGAACACTCTTCATTAGGAACATTCTCCTCGAAACACTCTCCTCTGGGAACACTCTTCATTGAAAACACTGTTCATCAGGAACAGTCTCCTATGGGGACACTCTTCATTAAAAACACTTCATCAGGAACACTCTTCACTGAAAACACTCTTCATTAGGAACACTCTTTGTCAGGAACACTCTCCTTCGCGAACACGTTTCATTTTGAAGACTTTTCTCTAGGAACACTCCTTGTTTTCATCAGGAACACTTCAATAGGAGCACTTTTCTCTGTTAACTCTCCTCGTCAGGAACACTCTTCTGGGAACACTCTTCATCGGGAACTCTCTCCTTTTCATTACAATCTCCTCTGCGAAACTCTTCATTGGAAGCATTCTCCTCCGGGAACTCTCTTCATTGGGAACTCTCCTCTTCATTACAATCTCCTCTGCGAACACTCTTCATTGGAAGCATTCTCCTCCGGGAATGCTGTTCATTGGAAGCATTCTCCTCTGGGAACTCTCTTCATTGGGAACTCTCCTCTTCATTACAATCTCCTGTGCGAACACTCTTCATTGGAAGCATTCTCCTCCGGGAACTCTCTTCATTGGGAACTCTCCTCTTCATTACAATCTCCTCTGCGAACACTCTTCATTGGAAGCATTCTCCTCCAGGAACTCTCTTCATTGGGAACTCTCCTCTTCACTACAATCTCCTCTGCAAACACTTCATTGGAAGCATTCTCCTCCAGGAACCCTCTTCATTGGTAACACTATTCATCAGGAACACCCTTCAGATTCTACAGATTAACACTATTCTTACTAGATCCATCCACAGCTTCTAATAGAGATTAAAGTGGTTCTAAAGGATTTTTACCTTACCATTACATGTTTCCCAGCAGGGGTGCAGCTTACCAGCGCTATGTGTGTCTATGGATGCACACTGCCTGGATCGGGAGCGTGCCCACACAGGTGTCCCTATAGCATACAGCTTGCTAAGGAGGAACCCAGATGAAGGAGTGAAGAGCACTGGTGGGGGGCTCCATTGCACAAAGCAGGTAAGTATAACATCTTTTTTATTTTAAAGGAAAAAATATATCCTTTTTTATCCTACTTCAATACTATTCCTACTAGATCCATCCACCACTTCCAAATACAGATTGATACGATTCTTACTAGAGCCTTCCCCCACTTCCCCCTGATAGACTTCCACCCCTTCTAAACAGATTATTAATAATCTTACAGATTAGTATAATACTGTTTCCTATAGATCCATCCACCCCTTCTAATGCAGATTAATAATAATCCTACTAAATCCATCCACCGCTTCTAATGCAGATTAATACTATTCCTACTAGATCCATCCACCGCTTCTAATGCAGATTAATACTATTCCTACTAGATCCATCCACCGCTTCTAATGCAGATTAATACTATTCCTACTAGATCCATCCACCGCTTCTAATATGCAGATTAATACTATTCCTACTAGACCCTCCACCCCTTCTAAGTTTAGATTAATACTGTTCCTACTAGATCCATCTACTGCTTCTAATGCAGATTCATACTATTCCTACTAGATCCATCCACCCGCTTCTAATGCAGATTAATACTATTCCTACTAGACCAATCCACCGCTTCTAATGCAGATTAATACTATTCCTACTAGATAAATCTACTGCTTCTAATATGGATTCATACTATTCCTACTAGATCCATCCACCGCTTCTAATGCAGAATAATTCTATTCCTACTAGATCCATCCACTGCTTCTAATGCAGATTAATTCTATTCCTACTAGATCCATCCACCGCTTCTAGTTTAGATTAATACTGTTCCTACTAGATCCATCTACTGCTTCTAATATGGATTCATACTATTCCTACTAGATCCATCCACCGCTTCTAATGCAGATTAATTCTATTCCTACTAGATCCATCCACCCCTTCTAGTTTAGATGAATACTATTCCTACTAGATCCCTCCACCCCTTCTAGTTTAGATGAATACTATTCCTACTAGATCCCTCCACCCCTTCTAGTTTAGATGAATACTATTCCTACTAGATCCCTCCACCCCTTCTAGTTTAGATGAATACTATTCCTACTAGATCCCTCCACCCCTTCTAGTTTAGATGAATACTATTCCTACTAGATCCCTCCACCCCTTCTAGTTTAGAGTAATACTATTCCTACTAGATCCATCCACCCCTTCTAATGCAGATTAATACTATTCTTACTAGATCCATCTACTGCTTCTAATACAGATTAATGCTATTTTTCTAGATCCATCCACCCCTTCTAGTTTAGATTAATACTATTCTTACTAGATCCATCTGCCTGCTTCCAATGCAAAATAATACAATTCTTACTATATCTATCCAATGCTTCCAATACAAATTAATACTAATTCTTCTAGATCCATTCACTGCTTCCGATACAGATTCATACTATTCCTACTAGATCTTCTAATACAAATGGGCATGTGCCAAGCTGTGAGCAGAGGATGTAGAGAAACATGGCCAGCCATGTCACTGTTTGTTAAGCCATGCTTACTCTGATTAGTACATTGTTCATTCATAAAGCTGCAGGGAACTGATAGGTTGTATATGGTGGAGGTAACATGTGGATGAAAATTGCATACCGGGCCAGTCTGTCTGTGAATTCCTTCACCCTCCGCACTTCATCCTCATCATTCAGGTCCAGCACGATAATACAATGGAAATTTCCATCACCAACATGTCCGGCTATGGGACCTATCGAGACACATGACAATGGGCTGATCATGGTTGAAGAGAGCATTTTTGGAGGAAGTGATATCAGTGTAATAGTATGATACAGTAAAAGAATCCTACCTGTAATACAAGACTGAATGAGGTCTTCCCTGGTGTCCACTAAGATTTCAGGGAGCTTAGAGATGGGGACACACACGTCTGTAGAATAGCCCTGCAACAAGAATATTATATTCAGATTATTGCTAGTGGAGTCCTCGGAATTTGTTTCACTCATTGTTATTTTTAAGCTGAGTACAGGTTCCATTATATGGGTAGAGTTTGTGGGCAACTTACCCTGACACGTACAGTGCCTTGAAAAAGTATTCATACCCCTTGAAATTTTCCACGTTATGTTACAGCCAAAAACTTAAATGTATTTTATTGGGATTTTATGTAATAGACCAACACAAAGTGGCACATAATTGTGAAGTGGAAGGAAAATGATAAATGGTTTTCAAAATTTTTTACAAATAAAATATCTGAAAAGTGTGGCGCGCACTTGTATTCAGCCCCCCGGAGTCAATACTTTGTAGGATCCCCTTTCGCTGCAATTACAGCTGCAGTTCTTTTTGGGGATGTCTCTACCAGCTTTGCACATCTAGAGAGGGACATTTTTGCCGATTCTTCTATGCAAAATAGCTCAAGCTCTGTCAGATTGGATGGAGAGCGTCTGTGAATTTTCAAGTCTTGCTACAGATTCTCAGTTGGATTTAGGTCTGGACTTTGACTGGGCCATTCTAACTCATGAATATGCTTTGATCTAAACCATTCCATTGTAACTCTGGCGGTATATTTAGGGTCGTTGTCCTGCTGGAAGGCGAACCTCCGCCCCAGTCTCAAGTCCCTGCTGAAGAAAAGCATCTGCCACCACCATGTTTCACGGTGGGGATGGTGTTTTCAGAGTGATGTGCAGTGTTAGTTTTCCGCCACACATAGCGTTTTGCTTTTAGGCCAAAAAGTTTAATTTTGGACTCATCTGACCAGAGCACCTTCTTCCACGTGTTTGCTGTGTCCCCCCATGGCTTCCTGCAAACTGCAAATGGGACTTCTTATGGCTTTCTTTCAACAATGGCTTTCTTCTTGCCACTGTTTCATAAAGGCCAGATTTGTGGAGTGCACAACTAATATTTGTCCTGTGGACAGATTCTCCCACCTGAACTGTGGATGTCTGCAGCTCCTCCAGAGTTCCCATGGGCCTCTTGGCTGCTTCTGCTGTCCTTGCCCGGCCTGTCAGTTTAGGTGGACGGCCATGTCTCAGTAGGTTCGCAGTTGTGCCATACTCTTTCCATTTTCCGATGATGGATTGAACAGTGCTCTGTGAGATGTTCAAAGCTTGGGATTTTTTTTTTATAACCTAACCCTCCATTAAACCTCTCCACAACTTTATCTCTGACCTGTCTGGTGTGTTCCTTGGCCTTCATGATGCTGTTTGTTCACTAATGTTCTCTAACAAACCTCCGAGGGCTTCACAGAACAGCTGTATTTATACTGAGTTTAAATTACACACAGGTGGACTCTACTAATTAGGTGACTTCTGAAGGCAATTGGTTCCACTAGATTTTAGTTAGGGGTATCAGAGTAAAGGGGGCTGAGTGCAAATGCATGCCACACTTTTCAGATATTCATTTGTAAAAAAATTTGAAAACCAGTTATCATTTTCTTCCCACTTTACAATTGTGTGCCACTTTGTGTTGGTCTCTAACATAAAATCCCAATACAATACATTTATGTTTTGGGTTGTAACATGACAAAATGTGGAAAATTTCAGGGGGTATGAATACTTTCTCAAGGCATTGTATAGCAGCTTGTTGGATATGATTGCTGATTTGATGCCGCTGTGGGCGGTGCTGAGACACGACCTCAAGAACATGGCAGGGTGTCCACATAATTTTAGTGTGTCACCCCCCCTGTCATGGCCTGTCTTCAGTGTTCTGTATTATATTTCCCTCCACCTGATATATCCACACTTAGGGTTAGGGAGTAAGAATCTGCCTGGGTTCAAAGTTTGCAAGATTTGTATCAAAACGCATTGAAGTCAGAGGGAAGAGAATCATATTATTCAACTATGGCCATTTGTAAGCAAGCTATTGTCAGTCAAAAGGCACTGGAAGTCAGGCACTGCAATAGGGAACATGTACCAATGTACAGCATAGGAGGGTCTATTCTTAGTAAACTGGGCGCTGCCATGGGGGATATGTACAAACATTCAGCAGGGGAGGGTCATTTCATGGGAAGCTGGGCACTGCCATCCATGGAGGACATATACCATCATGCAGCATGGAAGGGTATTTTCATGGGAAGCTGGGCATTGCCACGAAGGTCACGTACCAATGCACAGCGGGGGGGGAGGATCTTTTCATGGGAAACTGGGCACTACCATGAAGGACATGTACCAATGCACAGCGGGGGAGGGTCTTTTCATGGGAATCTGGGCACTACCATGAAGGACATGTACCAATGCACAGCAGGGGAGGGTCTTTTCATAAGAAGCTGGGCACTGCCACAATGGAAATATACCAATGTACAGCAGGGGAGGATCTTTTCATGGGAATCCTGGCACTGCCATGAGGACATGTAATAATGCACAGCAGAAGGAGAGTCTTTTCATGGGATAGGCAGTCAGCACACTGTAATGAAGGAAGAATGCACCTGCACCATCTTATACTCACTCGGCATCCAGGGCGCAGGGCCAGTGCTGCATACCATGCATTGTGTCGGGCTGTCCACAGCCGGGTCCTCTCCTGCTGGTCTTGGGCCCATGTGAAGTCTGACCCACCATTTAGCTGAATTATTTCCCCTGTGTGATAGAGAACACCATCAGCTCTTAAATGAGAGGTGTATAATGATCGGGACACCCACTGCTATGTTCAGAATTCTGTGTATATTTTGCTGTATGTGCACCTACCTGTTTGCTGTAGTTGCTCCTTTACTGCGGCTTCCGTGCCGTGGAACTCCAGGAACAGGGTGGGTAGGACAGGATAATTCATACTATTAAATTTATTACACGCATCAATCATGACATCATCTAAAAACTCTGCGCAGAGACAAAGCAGTGTCAGAGTGAGTTTAGACACATTCACCCTCCATCCTCCTACAGTCATTATATTCTCATCTGTCAAAGTACCACTTCTACATACATAAAAGCATCAAGACCCCAGTGCTATAGAAATACCAGCAATGGACACCCATGGCAGAGAGGGAGAAAATGTGGAATACAGCTCACATATTTATAAGCAGCAATGGGTGTCCATAGCAGAGCAGGAGAAAATGGGACCTGCAGCTCACAGATTTATAGCAGCAATGGGTGTCCATAGCAGAACAGGAGAAAATGGGACCTGCAGCTCAGAGATTCATAAGCAGCAATGGGTGTCCATAGCAGAGCAGGAGAAAATGGAACCTGCAGCTCACAAATTTATAGCAGCAATGGGTGTCCATAGCAGAGCAGGAGAAAATGGAACCTGCAGCTCACAGATTCATAAGCAGCAATGGGTGTCCATAGCAGAACAGGAGAAAATGGGACCTGCAGCTCACAGATTCATAAGCAGCAATGGGTGTCCATAGCAGAACAGGAGAAAATGGGACCTGCAGCTCACAGATTTATAGCAGCAATGGATGTCCATAGCAGAGCAGGATAAAATGGAACCTGCAGCTCACAGAGTTATAAGAAGCAATGAGTATCCATAGCAGAGCAGAAGAAAATGGAACCTGCAGCTCACAGATTTATAATCAGCAATGGGTGTCCATAGCAGAGTAGAAGAAAATGGAACCTGCAGCTCCCAGATTTATAATCAGCAATGGGTGTCCATAGTAGAGCAGAAGAAAATTTAACCTGCAGCTCACAGATTTATAATCAGCAATTCTGGGGTGTCCTTAGCAGAGCAGAAGAAAATGGAACCTGCAGCTCACAGAGTTATAAGTAGCAATGAGTGTCCATAGCAGAACAGAAGAAATTGGGACCTGCAGCTCACAGATTCATAATCAGCAATGGATGTCCATAGCAGAGCAGGAGAAAAGGGGACCTGCAGCTCACAGATTTATAAGGCAGCAATGGGTGTCCATGGCAGAAGGGGAGAAAATGTGGCATGCAGCTCACAGATTTATAACCAGCAGTGGGTGCCAATAACAGGGGGGGGAGACAACATGCCTGTCAGAAGACCTACGATCAAGAATTGTTGACTTGCATTGAAGCTGGAAAGGGTTACAAAAGTATCTGGGACCTGCAGCTCACAGATTCATAACCAGCAATGGGTACCCATGGCAGAGCCAGATCACTAAAAATGTTCACGTCTCCTGTGCTCCTTCCTATCAGATCTGCTCTGTGATGTGATACAAAGCACAGCTCACCAATTCTGGCAATGGGGACTCCACACTGCAGGATCTGCACCGTGCTGTCTACCGCAGCTTGGACACTCGGGAAGGCGCACACAGCTGCCACCGTGGCCTCCGGCACCCCATACAGGCGCAGCGTGGCTTTAGTTATGATGCCCAGAGTCCCTTCTGAGCCCACAAAGAGGTTGGTGAGGTTGTAACCCGCTGAGGTTTTCCTGCAGCAGAAAAGGAATGAAATTGATCAGTGGAGATCATCTCTGTCCTGGCTGATCCATTGGATTACTGCAACATTGCACCATTTAATATTGTTAGATTACCTATATGTACTATATGTCCTCCATACTTCCAAAATGTACCACATACCCATCATGTCTTACCCAGGACGAGCACACAATGCCAGAGCTGACATCTGAGGACGCCAAGTGGGAGGGGCGAAATGCATCAGATAAGGAACGTGGTGACGTCATTTCCAGCCGGTGGAGCGCACACCGGTGGAGTACTTCCTGGTTCTGTGGTTTTAATGCTTATTATTAAATCAATGTAAGTGCAATATGTACAGTTTTATCCTTTGGATTTTAATAAACAGAATCACACTATGTGGCCTCCTTCCTCCATTCCTTATGTATGAGCATCCAATCGCCACAACTGATGGATTGAGACAGGCCAGTGCAGCCATAGAGAGGCAGACTACAAGTCACAGCAGAACCAGGAATTCTCCTCCACCAAAGCGAGTCTGACTCCTATTTGATTAGAGTCCACAAGAGTCGGTGAGTGAATGGAACCACTGGTGGGGAGCACAGCGCATGGACTGCATGATTCTATGAAGAGCACTTAGACAATATTTGGAATCAGGGGCGGACTGACAACTCATGGGGCCCCCGGGCAATAGGGGATCATGGGGTCCCTGTGTCCTTGCCCAAACTCAAAAAAAGCCTATGAAAAAAGTACCAGGGGCATCTCATGGGGCCCCCTACTAACCCAGGCCCTGGGGCAGTGCCCGAGTTTCCAAATGGTCAGTCCACCCCTGTTTGGAATATATTGATTTCACTTTCAAACAAGTCACAAGGGCCTGTATTGAGATATATTTAAGTTTGTTTTGTCATCATGAGGGGAACATATAGGGCAGCACTCTTATATTCTTGATTGTACATTTCTGGGGGTCAGTACCGTTAATAGGAGCTGCAGCCATTTTAGATAATTTTTTGTTGGACAATTGGTCTGTGGTTTATTGTATGTGTATGTTTGATTTAAGGTGTTGCTATCACAGGGTCTTATATCTACACTAAAAGTTTACAATCCTGAGCGCAAGATAAAAATCATATTTAATTCCAGACCAGGGCTTGGTCTTTTCCAACCTGTCTGCTTTTCATCCATGTCTTTACACTATGTGGGGACATCGTCTGTCCCTCGGGGGCGGGGCAGACACAAAGGGCAGTTGGGTGATTTCCTGTTATGACACGGTGTGCTCTACATTACAGCCTATGGGCGACCATTTTATAAAAGGGGAACTCTAGGTTTTCTAATATCAGAGCCTGCTTGACACTGAGAACCGACTACAGTGCCTATGCTGTGATTGAGACCATCGGGTCAGAAATGTTATATTCATGGCGAGGAGGAGGGATGGTTTAATGAAGATCGTAAAGTGGTTAATTGGGAAGTGTGATATGTAATTTGCACAGACCACATACCTGAACCTTCTGTCTTTCCCTGCAGTGTCCAGGACACGTCCGTCAGGTAGAACCACTTCGAGATTGATGACATTGTCACGCATTGTGCCGTAACGTACTGCGTTAGTCCCAGATGCACTGGTGGCAGCCATACCACACAAAGAGGCATCAGCACCTGGATCTGAGAGGTCAAAGTGAGATTAACATCCCATCACAGAGTGAGGGGCCAAAGGTTATAGTCTGCAGATGTGGCTCCTAAAGCCTCTTAAGGGCCACAGATAATATCCATTCTAATTGTTCTTATCAATAAAGCAAATAAACAATAAAGTATTCATTGTGGAGATTGGTTTATCATTTTATATCTGCAGCAGACTGGGGCCCTCAGATTTATAGGGACTAAAGCTATCTAAACACCATGCTTACTACCTGTGTCAGGTCTACAATACCAGCACTGTGTACAGTCAGATACGATTTACCATCGGGGGGGATAGTCAGGAAGTTTGCTTCCTTATGTTCAGGAGGTCATCAGAGGGCCCAGAATGGTCCCAGGTACATCAATTCATGATAAGCAAAATAGAGGATAGTTGTAAAATTGACCCAATTATGCACAGATCAGTGTGGTGACGCAAACCACCATTGCCAGGGGGAGCAGCCACATCCCAGAAAGAGCACCTGTCATGACAAGCTATGCTGTATTACAGCACATTTCTAGATCAGACCATCAGATTTGTCCGATGACCACATAAAACCTCAGACTAGGGACTATGCACAATTAGATGTGGAGACCCAGCCAAGGCCCAGAATTTGGAGTCTTTCACTCACCTACAGGGAACCAGAGGCCGCTGTCCCGCAGGTAAGTGTTCAGGGATTTCCGTGTCACCCCTGGCTCTACAGTCACATGGAAGTCCTCCGTGCTCAGGTTCAGGATCCTTTCCATGTGAGTCATATTGAAACAGACACCACCCTGGGGAGGAAGGAGCGAGAGATCACAGAGGGTGTCATGGCACTACCAAGACTGTCTATCTATTGATCCATCTATCATATATCTAATGATCCATCTATTGATGTATCTATGGGTCCAGCTATTATCTATCTATATATCTATTAGTATACAGTATCAGCGTCTATTGATCCATCTATCATCTATTTATCTATTGATTCTTCTATCATCTGTATATCTATCTATTGATCCAGCTATATGTCTATTGATGCATTGATCAATCTATCTACTTATCTTTCCATCTTCAAATCTGTATTTTAAAAAGACAGATTTATAATTGGGTAAGGTATCACATAATGAAGGCACTTCTTGGGTTGTCCAGTCTATGGACACCTAGGATGGTACATACCTTAAGTGCGCTAACTCCGCCCTCCAGTCCTGTCCCTGTCCCAAAAGGGATGATGGGAATGTTGTGTGTGTAGCAGAGTTTGGCCATTCTGCTGACTTGCTCCACATTCTGAGGCCAAACTACAGCATCAGGTGGCCAGCAACTGGATGGAAGGAGAGGAAAAGCAATAGTGAGAGCTTTATCTACAAGACATTCCACTACATCAGGGGTGCTCAACCTGTGGCCCTTGGAGCCCTCTGATGTGGCCCTCCACCTCAAATTGAATTCAGGAGTTTTGGTGCACTTTCAGAAAGTGCACCACACCCACAAGATATATTAGAAGTCTATGGCAAAGAGCAACTAACCCGCAGAAAAGCAACATGTCAAGGCTATGTCCACAGCAGAGGTGCTCGGAGACCTGGCATTCCTGCCAGTTCCTTGCATGGCCACAGAAATGCACACTGGCAAACATCTATGCGTATTGGTGCTCAGATGTGAGCCAGAACACACATGCACACTGGCGCACAGTTACGCACGCCAGCAGCCCAGTTTGGTGTCAGACGGCCTTTATAAGAAAGCCCATCACTCTCTCAAATTGCTGGTTGATCTCTGGCTCCCCAGTACCTTTGTCCTGTGTTTTCCTTGCTATTGTGATCTCCTGTTACTGACTCAGCTTGTTCCTGGACCTGTCTTCTCTGCCTGTCTCCTGATCTGACCTCGGCTTGGCTTGCTCTCCTGTGTATAATACTGGCTTGGCTTGTCCTCTGCTACTCTGAAGGACTGTTGTCTCTCATGGGCGCCACCAGTCAGCAGACACCATTCCAGTGTGCTCCTGGGTGTACCTCTAACAAGCATCCTCAGTCAGATCATCTCTAAAAGCACTCCTGCAGGCCACCCATGCTACTTTGGGCCTGACTCCTTCTGTACCAACTTCAGGGGAGTCTGGAAGCCCTCTCTTCATTGGCCTCCAGCACCAGTTACTTAAAAACCGCAGATGCACTGTACTGCTCCCGCGGTGTGGGTAAACCACAGCACATCAATTTGAAAGCAGCCTTATAGTGGGCTCTGGACAGTAAGGACTCCTTTACATTTGCGGTTTGGGGGCAGCAAAACCCCATAGTTGAGACATCAGGAGTTGCAATGCCTGCCCCACCCCATGCTCCAGGGGGCCCGTGCAGTCTCCCTGTCACATTCTCTTTTACACTTGGACCGGAGAGGCGGTGGGGGTGGCATTTACAGAAACTGATCCTTTTCATTTTCCACCTTCAACTGCTGAAAGCCAACTCCTTCTCTCCCTCCTGCCAGCATTCAGTGTCTGCTATTCAAAATAAAAATTCAAAATAATAAACCATTTCATTTCATTGTGGCCCACGACTGGTTACCAAATAACTCAAGTGGCCCTCGCTCCTCAAAAGGTTGAGCACCTATGTACTACATGATACACACCCCTTCTTTTAAGGATGAACTGCACTTCGGAGACAAGACCAAATGGAAGATATGCATCTAATATCAGGCCCCAATAAGTAGGACATTCTGTGATGGTGGACAGAAGTTTATAAGAGTCTGTATCACTGGAAGGAATGGCATGAGAATAGTGGGACGAATGATCAATAAAGGGGACATTAAATTGCTGCTGACAATGAAGGGGATAACACTGAAGAGGTTGACTATGAAGATGATAGAGAAGAAGATGATTATGAAAAGGATGCTAATGAAGAAGATGAAATGACAATGAAGAGGATCACACTGAAGAAGATGACAATGAAGAGGATGGCAATGACAGTGAAGAGGATGACACTAAGGAAGAGGCCAATGAAGAAGGAGACTATGAAGAGGATGACTATGAAGATAAAGAGGATGAAAATGATAATGAACAGAATGACACTGAAGAAGATGACTGAAAAGGATGACAATTAATAGAATATCAGTAAAGAAGATGATAATAAAGAGAATGACAACGAAACCCCATACCTGTGCATTGACTCATCCCTGCCATGCTGCTGCCGGACAATCATTGCAGTGGACACATTGGACTCGTCGACCACTGACTTCAGATTCTCTATAAACTGCCAAACAGACCAATAAAGTCATGATAACTAACAAATGAAATGTACCATCAAAACACTATTACAACCAGGGGCGGACTGACCATTTGGAAACTCGGGCACTGCCCGAGGGTCCGGGGTCAGTAGAGGGCCCCATGAGATGCCCCTGGTTCCTTTTTTATAGGCTTTTTTGAGTTTGGGCAAGGACACAAGGGCCCCATGATCCCCTATTGCCCGGGGGCCCCATGAGTTGTCAGTCCGCCCCTGATTACAACGTAATATTTACTAACGCATAAGATTACAAGGACCCTACAATCTTTACTGACATATGGTATACTAGGGGCCTTCTATTCTTTGCTGACAGATATTATGGCAGGAACTCTCCACTTGTTACTGACATATGATATAGCAAGGGCCCTCCACTCTTTACTGACAGATGATATTGCAGAGGCTCTTCACTCTTTACTGACAGATGATATGGTAGCGCTCCTCCACTCCCTACTGACAGATGATATAGCCGGGCTCTCCACTCTTTACTGCTAATTATATGGTAGGGTCCCTTTACCAACAGTAGGGTCCAGGGGTGGACTGACAACTCATGGGGCTCTCGGGAAATAGGGGATCATGGGGCCTCTGTGTCCTCGCCCACACTCAAACCACACCCAAAAAAGCCTATGAAAGATACCGGGGCATCTCATGGGGCCCCCTACTGACCCCGGGCCCTCGGGCAGTGCCCGAGTTCCCAAATGGTCAGTCCACCCCTGGTAGGGTCCTCCACTGTATCCTGACAGATGATATAGCAGGGGCTCTCCACTCTTTACTAACGGATGATATGGTAGTGTTGCTCACTCTTTGCTAACAGATGACATGGACACTCTTACTGACAGATAATATTGTAGGGGGGCCACCACTCTTTACTGACACATGATATAGCAGGGGCTCTCCACTCTTTACTGACAAATGATATGGTAGCGCCCCTCCACTCCTTACTGACAGATGATATGCTAGCACCCCTCCACTTCTTACTGACAGATGATATGGTAGTGCCCCTCCACTTCTTACTGACAGATGATATGGTAGTGCCCCTCCACTTCTTACTGACAGATGATATGGTAGTGCCCCTCCACTCCTTACTGACAGATGATATGCTAGCACCCCTCCACTCCTTACTAACAGATGATATGCTAGCACCCCTCCACTTCTTACTGACAGATGATATGCTAGCACCCCTCCACTTCTTACTGACAGATGATACGGTAGAGCCCCTCCACTCCTTACTGACAGATGATATGGTAGAGCCCCTCCACTCCTTACTGACAGATGATATGGTAGCGCCCCTCCACTCCTTACTGACAGATGATATGCTAGCACCCCTCCACTCCTTACTGACAGATGATATGGTAGTGCCCCTCTACTCCTTACTGACAGATGATATGCTAGCACCCCTCCACTTCTTACTGACAGATGATACGGTAGAGCCCCTCCACTCCTTACTGACAGATGATATGGTAGCGCCCCTCTACTCCTTACTGCCAGATGATATAGCCGGGCTCTCCACTCTTTACTGCTAAATTATATGGTAGGGTTCCCTTACCAACAGTAGGGTCCTCCACTGTATCCTGACAGATGATATAGCAGGGGCGCTCCACTCTTTACTAACGGATGATATGGTAGTGTTGCTCACTCTTTGCTAACAGATGACATGGACACTCTTACTGACAGATAATATTGTAGGGGGCCATCACTCTTTACTGACACATGATATAGCAGGGGCTCTCCACTCTTTACTGTCAGATGATATGGTAGAGTTGCTCCACTCTTTACTGTCAGATGATATGGTAGTGTTGCTCCACTCTTTACTGACAGATGACATGGTAGGGTTGCTACAGTCTTTATTGACATGATATGGAAGGATCTCTTCACTCTTTACAAACAGATGATAGGGTAGGGTCCCTCCTTTCTTTACTAAGAAATGATATGATCGGGTGAATCCACTCTTAGCTGAAAAACTGTATGGCAGTACTTCACTCTTTACTGTCAGATGATATGGTAGGATTGCTGGGTGTATACAGGGGATCTATTGTTGCTGTGAGTGGGGAGGATCTATTGTTGCTGGCTGCAGGAGATCTATTTTACTGATATTTTTGTTATTATTAACAAATTCCATACAAATTACTTAGCAGCACAAAATAATACCTGGTTCTGTATTCTCTATAAGGGGCGGTATTGGGAGATGGGTAGGGGGTGAAAACAAGGGAGAGTGTTCGGAGGTAGGTAGGGGGCAGAAACAAGGGGTGACTCAGAAGGGGGGAGGGGTGAATTTCTAAAAAAGTTGGCGTAAAACAACAGAAGTAATAAGTGGGCACTGGTAAAGTCTACCATCCTGGAGGCAACTAGATTATATGTCAGGCAAGTTAGTAAGGGCAGCACAGTGGCTAGATGGTTAGCACTTCCATCTGGCAGTACTAGGGTCGCTGGTTTGAATCCCAACCACGGCACCACCTGCCTGGAGTTTACATGTTGTGACTGTGTGGGTTTCCTCCAGGTACTCTGGTTTCCTCCCACACTCCAAAAACATGCTGGTAGGTTAATTGTATCCTGTCTAAATTGGCCCTAGTATGTGTATGTATGAATGTGAGTTAGGGACTTTAGGTTGTACCAGGGGCGGACTGACAACTCATGGGGCCCCTATGTCCTTGCCCAAACTCAAAAAAGCCTATGAAAAAGGTACCAGGGACATCTCATGGGGCCCCCTACTGACCCTGGGCCCTCAGGCAGTGCCCAAGTTTCCAAATGATCAGTCCACCCCTGGGTTGTATGCTCCTTGAGGGTTAGGGACTGATGTGAATGTACAATATATGTATGTAAAGCACTGTGTAAATTAACAGCACTATATAAGTACCTGAAATAAATAATAAACCTCTGCACCCATACACACTCTGTACCTTGGATCTATGCTGCTCTGTCACCGATTGCAGACTTACACACTCTGTCTGACCCATACAGCCTTGCTGACTCGTGCCCAAAAAATAACTCAAGCGACCTGTTACCACCACTTAATTAAATGTGTATTTCCAAGATAAAAATCCTAATTTATTGGTTTAAATAAACTTTTTCATTTAAAAACCTACTTTTATGAGTTGTATTGAAATGATGTTGGAAATTACATTAACTTAATATTGTGTGTCATGTACAGTTACATTTCTGCATTCATTGTTGTACAATGAAATTTAAGTTAAGGTACCTTAACCTCCCTGGCGGTTTTCCCGACTGTAGCTCGGGGTAGAATTTCTATACCACAAGCGGTAACCCCGAGCTACACTCGGGCTTACCATGCGGCGCTGCTCTGGGGGTCCCTGCAGCACTTACCTTGTCCTTCGTTCCCACGATGTGTCCCCTGCAGCGTCCCCGGCCATCTCCTCCGGCCGATGCCGGCATCCGGCTTCTGTGTTCCGGTCCCTGTGACGTCGGGACGTACGGGCGCCGCTGGCGGCGGGAAATTTAAAAATTTTTAAAAATGTCATTTTTTTTTTTTTTTCAATTTTAAATAGTAAAACATTGCTGTTTCATCCCATTTCACATACATTTTGTCCCGAGTGCTTTGTCCTGTGCCCTGCCTGCATTTTGTCTGTTCTTTCTGCCTGGAAACTTAGAAAAGTCCATGGCGTCCAAAAAGCGTCCCTTTACGTCAAAAGCAGTTTTAGACCGGCTAGAGAACAGCGATAGTAAATCAGAACCACTTGCAGAATTAAGTGATAATGATTTGTGGGGAAATTTTCCTAAAAATTACAGCCTACAATAAAAAACTATTTCCATGCGAAAAAATGGTACCGCTTTCAGCACAAAAAAAATCGGAAGGAATCATACCGCCAGGGAGGTTAATATATTTGACTTGGTAACTTCATTTTGCTCTACATTGAGAGCTGCATTGCAAGTCTCCACCCCCATTCACTTAACACAAATCAAGTCTCAGTTGTTTCAAAAACTGTTCCTTGAACTTGATGGACTGAAAGCCAGTGCTAAAGTAATGGGTCTCAAGTACAGTCTGAAGAACGTATGTGTTCCATAGCACAGTCATACTCAGATGACATTTTTCACTTTTATTTCAGTTCACAAAATGGTTGTCGCAGGGTAATGCGGAAAGAATATAGCAAATTGTAAGAAAGCTCACAAAATATCAACTTTCAATATCCTCCAATAGCTTCACTAGATTGCCACAATTTGTTGCACAATATAGCAAAGGTCTTGTAGAGAAACAGTTTCTGCACCAGACAGACAATATTAAAAAAATCTTAATGCAAAGTGCTTACTCATTCATCAGTACAACTTTAAGGATTTGATTTTGGTGTGCAAATAATGTCAATTGTTTAACAATTGGATTGTTGGGCCCTGGTTCACACAATGAAGTGCATGTGAATCACAAAGGAACTGCAACACATTCCTGTGCAATTCACATGTGGTTCAGTGTAATGCAATTTGAGCCCATTCATTTTGAATGAGCTCAAATCACACCACATCGCACCAAAGACATGCATGCACCAATTTTTGAACCACAGTGCAACCAGATTGCATGTTTTGTTTTGTACCATGCAATCTGGTGCCGGCAAATGCACTGTGTTTGCAACACTGACATCCACTGCAGACTGCAAGGGTAGTGCGATTTGAATGCGGTGTGCGAAATGCACACAGATTGCGGGGTTTCTGCAACACATTCTAGTGTAAGCCTAAACTGATTAATTCATTTTTGAAAGCTAGTATAAAAAAAAACAAAGCTAAAAACTAATACAGAAAATCAATTTGGATCAACTTGATTTTTAACTGCTTTTTAACTTTAAAAAACTTGCTCATAATTGTAGCAATTAAGTACACGTGACTTGAAGGTTTCTTATAAAAACTGGAAAAACTATTTGAATTAACTTAATATGTTTAAGTACTCAACTTAAAAACATGTGTTTATAATGGCAGTAATT